AAAAGAAATTGAAATGGCTATTGCCAAAAGCCAAGAAAACTAGAGACCTTTGAAACTAGATTGGAAGTAAGAAAGGAGTTGACAAGAGTGAAGAAGGCTTCAGTCTTGTCTCTATATATATTATCTAACTAGGAGCTACATGACAACATTCTATAGGACCTCCAATATGTGTTGACTTTGTAGTACACATGTCTTGACTTACAAGGCAAGTTTTTCTACGTGTGGGCCATACAGTTAGCTTAGTCTTCAAGCTAACAACATGTATGGCACATGGCCAACTTGTTGATCACATTTTTAATCCCAAAAAGTCAATTAAAGATACCTATAAAGTCAAAGCAGCATCTATAAAACTTCTAGAAAACTTCCATATCAAATACTATAGAATTAACTTACTTTTACCTATTTTTACTTATTTCTACCTATTTATATATATAATTATTGGCTTAACTGTGTATGTCCGTGACAAAGCTTCATAGATGTTACTTTGCCTTTATACATGTCTATAGGTAATTGATAGGTTGAAAACTTGGCCAACAAGGAGGCTACGTATCAACATGTTGACCACTTGTAATATAAGTTGGATATATGGTGCATACTTAGGAAACTTGTCTTGCAAATTAGACATGTATTCTACAAGTTGGATGCATTTTAGAGGTCTTATAGCATGTCGCTATATATTTCTTAGTTAAGTAGTATATATAGAAGTAATAGTGAGGCCTTCTTCACTCTTGTCAATTCTTTTCTTGCTTTTAGTCTCATTTCATGAGTCTTATGTTTTCTAGCCTTTGTGAATAGTCATTCCAATTCTTCCTTGAATATACATACTTTCTTCTATTTTGTCCCTTTCCTTTTGATACAGATTCTACAAGTTTATGTATCCTCTTTCAGATTGTGTCCTTAACTCATACAAGGTTTTTGATATCTCATTCATGATAAGTGCCATATTTTTTGTTGTTATATAGGCAAATATTGCAACTGCCATTTTTCTTGATATACCAAATATATAATTATTTGAAATTGAAAGATTTGCTCCAATTCTAGAATTTATATAAGATATAGTGATTTAGCCTAATGATGTTACATTGTTGAATCTTTTTCTTGAGTTTGGCAATTTTAGCTTCTAATATTTTTTCTTATTCAAAGTAGGCTATTTGTTTGGATGAAAAATGAAGTAATTATCCTCAATGTAGTTGAATTTACCATAATAAATATACTTTAATTATTTATTTTTGGATTTTTCTTCTTCTTTAGCCATTTTTTTTATATAGGCTTTTTTATATATTAGTTTTTTTTTCTTCTTGAAATATTTGAGATTATATTTAGTGTGGCCAAATTTATCATTTTTTTAATAATACATAGTCTTTTTAAGTTGAATTTCTATCAAGTTGCTTTTGGCAATTGCAACCTTCTTAGGCCTAATCACATTTGTCATTTAAGCAACCATATGAGTAGCATTATGTTGAAAAAGGTCCTATCACACTTTTCAACTTTAATAAATGCTTGTACCAGAATTATCTTTTTATTATAATTAAGAATAATTCTTGGTGTTGTTAAGTTCAATAATTTCTTATAAATCTTAGATAAAAAAATCTTGACAAGTTGGATCTTTGTAAATATATTTTTTGATTCTATTGTAAACCAGGCCAAATAAGTATATATTATATGTAAAATATCTTTTTCTTTTTACGTTGGAAGTCTTTAATAAGTTATATTGGATCATGCCTAAAACCTTCATATATATTTTCTAAGTGTTTAATGAATATTTAAAGTGGCTCAAATGATATTGGATCTCTTCTTAGAAATAAAGTTACCTTTATACTTTGAATCATTTGTGATAAAGTGGATAGAATACTATTTAAGTCCATTACTACTCCTTTTCTTTTGGCTTCTTTTAAAAATGTTACAACTTTTGCTTTTAGTGACTCTTCTTTATTTATCATTGACATTAAGTTAGAAATCACACCTTCTTTAAGAACTCAAATGAGATCTATTTTTATATTTTAATATAATTCTATCTCTTATAATTTAAGTAAAAGTTCATCATTCCATCTTCTATTGATTTGAAGCATGTCATGCTTCAAATATTAAAGTAGTAGTTCAAAGGCACACTATTTATTGAAAATAGGAGACTTTTGGTATTTTTTATTTATCTATTTTTAAAATATAAGCTTTTTAATCTTACAAGAAAATTCTTCCAACTTGTTTTAAGAATCAATCCTTCACCATGCAGTGTGGATTGTCATTTATCTTATAAAATGTGTCTACATCTAAGTTTCAAAGTCTTCTAGTAATTTCCAATATTAAAATGTGCTAAAAAGCCTCGATAGTATCCATTGCTAGCTCAAAGTTTGAATATGGTGACTATCTAGGTAGTGAAATGAAAGACTTTGGTAATATCAATTCTTATTATTCAATGCAAAAATGACTACTTGAATATCTGCAATACAAAATGGGGCAATACTTAAAACCCTTTCAAAATGATATTTGCAACTAAAGAGAGATACCAAAAAAAAAAAAAAAAAAAAAAAAAAAAACCAAACATCCATATTAAATCTTTATCCTCAACTATAAAAAAACAAAAATCACAAGTAAACTAAGCAACTGACATCCATCAAAGGTTGATACTTACAAAGTACAATACTTATGGCAATAAAATAAAATTATAATTACAATCCAAAATGAAATGTAGAAAAGAAAAGAAAAGAAAAACTCACTTTAAAAAAATAAATGGTATTAAATTAATATCACTTAAATGCTTTAGATAATCTCAAATTCAAAAACTAAGAATCCTTTTGGCATCTTTGAATATCTTCTACATAAGAATGTTGCAAAAATAGTGAAGTTTAGACTCCATATGTTCTTGGAGTGAACTTCCAAATTTGACACTCAAGAATTTTGGACATCTTGTTATTATTGTTGTTATTGTTGTTTTATTTTTTGTTTTTTTATTTTTGTTTTACTTTTAAAAAATTTAAGCTCTATAATCATGCATTGACTCTTTTTATCATATGACTCTTATGATTGCTTCTGGCTCTTGTGATTGTGTTGTACTTTGATTGTGGATCTTATCATCATGCACAAGCTTTTATAGCCATATATCACTGTTGTTTGTCATCTTTTATTGTTGAATGTTACCAATTCTTGCTAATTTATTTTTTGATTCAATAAATTTGTCAAGTTAGGCCATACTTGAGTAACTTATTAAGCAATTGCTATTCTTTAATACAAAATGTAAGTAGATTCTAGACATAAAGATATTATAAGGCTACAAAAATAACCTCGTACTTGATAGAAGCTATGAATATGTTGACTTTTATTGTACTAAAGATTTTTCCAAATTCAATAGAAGTAATCTAGTTCTTATTCTTCAAAAAAGATTCATTGTTAAAAATAAGAATACTTATTGTATAAGATAATCCAAGATAATGGATAAATCTGAAGATACCACCAATGTCTTTGCTTCCAAGCTTCTAATGCTGCAACTTTGGCACCTCAACTACAATCATATGTCGCACCTTGCCTCACATCATAACCTTATACCTTAATACTATAATTATTATAATTATGTTGTCATCCAAAATTAGCATTGCAATATTATAGCAGCACAATTTCATATCCAAAAACAATATTAGAATAACACAATAATTTCAAAAAAATTATTCTAAAAAATTATAAAATAATTAATTTATTTTAAAAATCTATTCTATTTTAATTTGATATACTATAAGTTGAAGAAGAAATGACATCCTTGTCAACTAAAAGATGATAAATTTATACACAAATAAGTCAAGTTATTTTTTATACAAGAAAGGGAGAATCCACAAATATAAGTATAAGTGAAAAAATCCTAAAGCTTTATTAAATAGCTAAATTACCATAGTCAAGCAAACTCTTATAATACAAGTTTTTTCTCTCAAAATCAATCATTAGTCTTAATTTGACAAGAATGTTAAATTAAAGAGGCTTCATTACATAAGTCTTCAAACTCTAGTTGACACTAACAAAGTCAACTAATATAAAAGCTAAATAGATAAAAACCACTAAATCAAATTAATTAATACAAATCCAACAAGGTTTGGCACCCAATGCCACATTACATGAAATATCTTATATTAACTTTATTTCAAAAAATAGATATATATTTTTACTAAAAAAATGATCTTACTTTGCTCTATTTTGATTAATTTAAATATAGAATATCTATAATTTATTAATCTTTAGGAATTTATACATATATATATATATATATATATATATATATATGTGTATATGAGTAGAAAGGTTTTGTCTTTCTTTGCCACCATCTAAAATAAAAAGAGAAGATGATATAATGGCAATTAAAGGCAAAATTTTATATTCATATATTATTTTTATAGATAATTATTTATAATACAATGTTTAATTACAAGATTCAATTTAGGAGTAGTTTTTCTAAAACACTCATGCACATGTCTTAAGGAATAGTAAGCATATTTAGGAATCTTTACCAAAATGTCATCTTATAATAACATTTTTTTATACTAGACTTAATAATAAGTTCAAATTGATCATTAATTATTGAATATTTTTTTATAATATATATTTTAATTAATTAAAATTTAATAAAAATTTAAGATTCTAAAAATATTTTCATTTTGTATATTGGATATTGTAATTTTGGAAATATAATAATCAATATTTGATTGCAAAAAATCATTTTCACAAAGTATTTATTTATTACCTATTAGAGTAATTAGCATGCATATAAATAACTTCGTCCAAAGAATTTTAAACTCCCATAGTTTAATTTGACAATAAATGGATCCAAATAGAACATCAGCGCTTCCATAAAAATCTGAATCCCAATTTAGGACTGGCGGTGTGAATGCGATACAGAGTTCCCCCCACAGGGAACTTGAGGACCGCACAAGAGAACTCAATCCGGGAACGTGGAAGGGAACGAGGGAGCGGGGAGGGAACGAGTGCTACAGAGTTTTAGGGTTTGGATCTCGGCACTCATGCTCTCTTTGCCAATCTGCGTACCAGCCCCGAATCTGTTGTAGTTTTCCTCTGTCCCCAGCGAAACGAAAAACGAAGGGACAGACACACACACACAGGCAAAGCTTTCCTGCACTGCCTGCGCTACCTGCTGCAGCAACGTCTCAAGGTACGCGGACTTTGTTTAATTTTAATTTTTTCGGGGTCCCAACTTGTGATTACGTATTTTTCTTTTGCAATCGAATATTTTTCAGAGCAGGGTTTTGATCTGTCCAACATGAAGACTCTTCATCTCATGCAACGATGTTGTTAAAGGTCGTTCGTGCGAGGTAAAGAGGGACGACGAGCGTGGAGATTGCGCTCAAGTTGCAACAGATTCCCTGTTCTTAGTGGTTCGTGTTTTTTTTTTTTTTTTTTTTTTTTTTTTTGGGTGTGTGTGATGTGTGTAGCTTGGGATTTTGAGGGATTGTCGACTTTTTAGTTTTTCAATTTTTAATTCTAGTGTGTTTGATGTATGTGGGGTTCCGAGATCGTTAAACTTCGGTTTGGCAGACCATTTGGTAGTAAGCGTCTTGGAAAACGTGCACTAGTCTTCAATTAAAAACTCGAAGTTTGTTTTACCAGCTGAAAGTTCCTAACAAGTATGTCTACGTTTATAGTACGTAAGATTGCAATGAGCTTAATCTGGTGGAGGCATAGTTGTGACTCTTCGGATAAGCAAGACGCTCTTTGCAAAGTTTTCCTCAAAGGGATGGAATGGAGAATCATACGCTTCTTCCAATCATTGGTTTCATAAGCATCGGGTTTTCATGTCAGGTTATGGTTGATTGATCTGAGCAGTGGGCGTGCAGCAGGCGCTTTTCGTTATGTCGGGTTATGGAGGAGGGGGAGGGAGTGGCCGATATCGCGATGGCGGAGGACCAGGGGGTGCTGTAGGGGATCGAGGAGGCTCGCGAGGCGGGGTTGGGGGTGGCCAGCGGGGTGGTTTTCGTGACGGAAGTGGTGGAGGAAGAGGAGGTTATGGTGGTGGCGGAGGTGTGGGAGGGTATGGTGGTGGCGGAGGTGGGGGAGGGTATGGTGGTGGCGGAGGTGGGGGAGGGTATGGTGGTGGCGGTGGGCATGATCGGGGTGGTTCACGAGGAGGTGGAAGCGGAGACAGGAGCGGAGATTGGACTTGCCTGAATGCGGGCTGCGGGAACGTGAATTTTGCACGACGGATGGAATGTAATAAGTGTCAAGCCTCGAAGCCTCAATCAGCAGCAGGAGGCGGAGGAGGAGGCTACGGTGGGAGGGAGGGTGGTGGAAACAGTTATGACGAAGGTGGCCAGGGAGGATATGGTGGAAGGGGCCACGATAGAGAGCAGGGGAGAGCATATGAAAGCCGCGGCGGAGGGTACGGGGCCCAACCAAGAGAAGACATCACGGTGGATGGTTCTAAGGACGTCCCTGTAAAGCAATGTGATGAGAACTGCGGTGACAGTTGCGATAATGCAAGAATCTATATTTCAGGATTGCCTCTAGATGTGAAAGAAGATGAACTACAGGAACTTTTTGGTGGTATTGGACAGGTAGCAAGAGTGAAACAAAAGCGTGGTTACAAGGATCAGTGGCCGTACAACATCAAGATCTATCAAGATGAAAGTGGGAAGAACAAGGGAGATGCGGTGTTGAGCTATGAAGATCCTCACGCAGCACACTCGGCGGGAGGGTTTTTTAACGATTATGAAATGAGAGGGCACAAAATAAAAGTTGCGATGGCTGCGAAATCAGCTCCAAAACCGCCACCTCCGGCCGGAGGTGGATATCGGGGTGGGCAGCGCGGGGGTGGTGGTCCTGACAGACGGGATGGTGGTGGATATCGGTCTCGTCCTTATTGAGTGGAAGGCCAGAGGTAGCGAAGTGAGCAACCATACTTGTCCCTTCTGGTTCCGTAGAATTAACTGTGACTTGTTCCGCAAGATGGGGGCGGTTGCAGACCTAGGTGATCGGCTGTAAGTAGGTGATGCTTTTTAACTGTTTGTGTACATTGACTGGTTGCAGAAAAGCATGGCTTTTATGGGCTGAACGGAGCAGTTCCTCCAAAGATTGTTTTCATTTATAGTTGTCTCGAGATTTGCGTGCTTCGCAAGTAGGTTGTTATATGTGGAGCAAGTTGTTATTGTTAGGGGATGTAGATTGATGTTGCAGTGGTGGATCCTTTTGTGCGGCAAGTCGGTGATCACTACTATTTCGTCGGGCTGTGTATTGGACCAAGGAACAGGGGATCCAAGGCGCTCTGATTGTCGAAGAGTTTATTTTCTTGTGGAATCAAGGACTGGGAATAGCCAAGATGTGGAATAGGTAGGTGGGCCGTCTGAGTTGTGCTGTGGGTTTGACCTAGGTGGCATGAGTCGAATTGCCGGGGGTCAGAGAGGTCTGAATTGAAGTCTTGGTAGAGTGTTCCAGGTTTCTGCGGTGGTGCATGTCTGAGCTAACCGAGATGGGGTGACATGTATCATGCTTTATAAAGGCCGTGCGACAAAGCTGTCTTATTCCTTGCGGATTGATGCACATGACAATTAGTCTTAACGTAATGTGGGTGTCTAGATGTAAGCATTTGGGGTCTTGTGAAAAGTGTCATTTTCGCGGTTGGACTTTTCTCACATGGGATTTCACCTCGTTGGGGTTGTCTAGAGCTGATGCAGTCTAGAGGTTAACGGTTAACGACACGTTGCTCTCTCGTCGACGGTGGAGGTGATTCTCGTGTCTGGATTTGGGGCGCTCAGCACTCGGAATTGTGCTGCAGCTTGCTGCGGTTGCAGCATGCTGGTGCCTGGGGGGGGGGGGGGTGAGCGCTGCCACAAATTGGCGTGGGTGATGGGGTTACGGTTAAAACGTCACCATGCACACTCAGCCCCAGGAAGGAGTGAAATTATCCTGTCTGCTTGTGCCATGTTGGGTGCACTGATGCAGTGCTTATCGTGTATATGAGCAGCACAAAAAAAAAAAAACAAAACAAAACAAAACAAAACAAAAAACAAAAAACAAAACAAAACAAAAACAAAAATGAAACAATATTGGGATGTGTGAACGTCAGTGAGCATATAGGTGGCGACCGTCAAGTGCAAGAAATAATGCGAGCACCGGGACCGCACTCGCTTAGGGGGTCCAAGGCAGTGCGTTTTCGATGCTTGAAGCTTTGCAGTCGCACCTGCTACTTTTCCTCTGTTCAGGCGGATAGGGACGGGCACTAACTTGAGTACCAGACGTGAAACCGCAATCGCTGCCCAGTTCTGGACACTCGCACGCCTGCGCATCATCTCTACTCTCCCCTCCAATTTCTCTTGGCTGTCATTTGTGCTGATTAATCGCTCTATGTTTCTGGTCCGCTCATCTGTTTCCAACTAGTTTTCGCATGAACTGGGCTTGAGACTTGTTTCTTGATTAGATTTCCTACACACTTCGATCAGTGGGAGCTGCACTGTTTCAGTCACTGTTTCCTGTTAGTTTTTCCAGCATGCAACATGATCTAACTCCGTTTTCTTATGTATGTTGAGCACAGCGCCTGAGGGACATCCGGTAATGCCATTATTCCTTGCCTGCTCTGGCCTTCTTCTGAGTATCAAAGGGGTGCTGTTTTGCTTGTTGGTAACATCCTGCTCCATAACTTGGTATAGCTAGCGTTGGAGCTGCCAAGGGAGTTCGATTTTTCCTACGTAATTTGTAACACACTGGACGAAAAAGGAACAAGGACGAAATCTTGGAATGCATGCATAGAATGGTTTTAGCCCAAGAAGTTTTGATTTTTGCTCGTAACTGAATTTGTTAGCGCATTTTATTTTTCTTTCCATAACGAATAATGTAACAGGTTATAACAATTTCTTATTTATCAGTAGGTGTATACGAACGAAACTGATTGTTTAGAAAGCTTTTAAAATGCAAGCAGTAACGAAAAGTACCGATATCACTAGGTGTTAGTTAACTTATGTGAATTGTCCGCCGATTACCTTGGTCAGTATAAACAATTGAAGCACAAAAATTCTGTGGTAATCGGATACATTTACATTTATGCTTTCAGTTAGAAAATAAAGTTTGAAAACAATTAGGCAAACAATTTTACGGCGGGATTATTTTTATGGGATTCCCATATGCGCATTACTGAATCTATCGTTGTTCAACGGAAAGAGAATGGTAAGAGACCAGAATTGTCTATGTCGTGAAAGAGAATAATTTAATTTTTCTACAGCCCATGAAACTATTTCTTTCATGTACAGGAAGTAAACGTCTACACGAAATTTTGTAATTTGACGAAACTGTTAATCTTAAAGTGATAGCCAGTGGGAGAGATTTTTTTTCTACATTAATGGTCTTAGAATTGCATTTTGAGTTCGCTGTAAAATCCTTGTTCAGTGAGAAACTCCCCAACTTAACTTTGTTGTTATCTAAGCAATAATTATGTACATGTTGAATTACAGAGAGATATTTGTTAAAATAAATCTTCTCATTGTGAATAATAAGTCGTGAATTCTTTTAACTCATTTCATGAGCAAAAATGTCCAACTCTGTGTAGAACTCAACTTCGTTGCCACTGTTACACCGTTCATTGCAACTTCTGTTATGGATTGTTGGCAAATATTCACACCAAAGCAAAACTTGTTTAAGTATAGTACTAGAATTGATAGTACAGTCTTAACTGGATTTATCCAAAAATTGAATTGTCAAAAAACTGTATTGTACATGATTTCTTCCATTCTTGTTGCACACAAATATTGTAACCATTATGTTGTACAGCATTATTTGGTGAAGCTGCGATTTTAATTTATATAAATGTATGAATGTTTACAAATTAAAATTATTTGGGGCAAATAATCCCATGCTGTCTTATTTACATTTAGATAGAATCTAGTTTAAATGCACAAACAAAAATAGAATAATCAAATGTAGGCACACGCTTATGTAGTAAAATTTTAAGTTAGATTTTAAAAAAGGAAAATGTTGCAACAAAAATTGATGTTGTGATTTCAATTACCATTTCAAAACGTTTAGAAGCGATCGGTCAAAAAATGGCTTGAAAAACAGAAAAAATATCTAAAACAAAAACAAACTTTTCCATGTCAGATGAACATTTTTTCATGAAACAATAATTTTATTTAATTCAATTTCGTGGTGAAATTTCCATGTTGGGATCCAGAGAATTATAAAATGGGTTAAGACATTCATGATTTTGATCATTTTTCTCTTTTGGATGATATAAACAAGGTTTGGCTTTGAAGTTAGAATAAATTTGTGTTAATTTTTTTTTATTGTAAGTTGGCGATTTTTGCAAATGCTGGGAAACACGTATTATCTTTTTGATATCAAAATGGAATTTTACAACCCTAACATAAGTTTGTCCAATTTTGACAAGCCTTATATCTTTAGCAAAGTCACAGTCTTGGATGCTTGTGTTATCATTTGCGGGTTGCGCGTGTTTTTGTACATTCCAATTCATTATTCTTTGAACCTCGGGTTGTACATTTAGAGCCCGATGGATTTCTTTTTTAAGATCTTTCACCATCGCTTCACGCCGTAAAACTATGGTGTACATGTTACCTACCCATTTCAAATGCATGGTCATTTCTTCAATTAAGATGGGTCCAGATTTTGCAATCTCTTGAGCAAAAGAAATCCCTTGAGTTAAATGACTTGTGGTGGCTTCAATGTCATGAAGAATGGAGCAAAGTTTTGCAAGTTTTGACATAATCTCAAAAAGAAGACTTTTAGATTGAACCCACAAATAACTTATTGATCCATGATTGTGGTGCTCTCAAACAATTTCTTGATTTTTTACATTTGCAAAACATATTAGGATTTTGCTCATCTTGAATTCTCTGTGCACTAGTGACCGCATAAGATATATGCATAGTTGATAGAATAAGAATGTGAGTTGAAATCAACAATTCCAAAATGATTTTTTTTTTTTTTTTTTTTTTTGTACTCACAAGATTTTTTGATTTAATGGGATTTTGTATTTGTTGATTTTTAACAAACGTATGTTGATAATTTGTTTGCCTAGATATCAATTGTTTTTTCTTGGCTTGGGTATGTATAAAATTTCAAACATTATTATCATACATAATTTGTGATTTTATTTCGTGAATACATTTTTAAAACTCGTTCTTATTTGATTTATTGAAAAGCCACATATTTGCATAAAAGAAGAGGCGAGATGAATTGTTTTTGTATGAATCATGAACTCAGATGCAAATTTATTTCAACAATCTTAGTGTATATGATCTTACTTGGCATTTATCAGCCATGTGTAATTATACATTTCAATTACAATTTTGAATGAAGATTTCAAATTCAATGAGATGGAAAAAAAGTAAACTGATAATCAAATACCTGCTGACTTGGTTCCAATTTACAAATCTCAATTCACTATTCATATCATAAAATTAGAGCATGACTTACAAAACTCATGTGCTTTTTAGATTCTAAAATATTGTTTAAAATATAAATTGAATATTTTTATTTCATAACACTATATTAAAACTAAGGATTAAAATTTCTTAATGTGAAGAATGAGCATCTCAGTGGATTGTTAAACTTCACATTGGCCAAAAAAAAAATATATATATATATATATATATACATATATTTAAAGGAAGGTTCGATTTTATTTATTTATTTATTTATTTTTTCGAACTATATTTTGATATTTTCGTACTTTAATTTTGCATAGACATCTCTAAATCTTTTATCTCTTTCACAAATACAAAAGAGTATATAAAGACACATGTTCATGTACAAGATAGAGATTTCAATGAATTTATGTCTGAATTGTTTTTGCAAATTTTGTCCATTTTTATTCTAAATAACAACAGATCTAATAAATTTCTACTCATTGCATGTTGAGTTTTTGTATTACTTTTTTGCAACATATTTCAATTGAATTATTCTAAAATATCATTTTTAGAAATGTAAGAAGATTGTTCAATCCTTGAAGAATTGGAAGTTTTCTATTTGGCATGGGATATTCTACATAATATTGATTGATTTATATTTATGTTTTAGGATTATTCAATTTATGATGAATATAATAAGATAGTGAATTGAATAATGTGATGATGCATTTCTTCTACAGTTCTGTGTTTTTCACCATTGTTTTTTCCAAAAGAATTAGAAAATGTTACTCCTGAACTACAACAGGAGATTCTAATTGTATTATTGAATTGGTATTTAAATAAATCAATTTTTTATTTTCTAAAATAATAATATTAGTTTACATCAGTTTACTTCAATTAAACCACTTTTTCTTATCTTAAATCATTCTAAACAAATTATCATGTATGTCTTGTTTCAATTCTTAAATATTTCTATAATCACTATATTCTTTAGTTTTTAATTTATATCACTATGTATATATATAAATATATCTGTTTTTTAAAGTAAGAATGATCTCAAACAAACCAAAATCTGTTCTTACTTTACATTATAATAAAAAATAATGTATCAATAAATTCTTTTCATTCATAAGTTTTATTTTTATTTTTTGTGAAAGAGAGTTGAAATTTATCATTACTCATGATAATTTATAAATTTTATCAAAAGTTTAAAGTAGGAAAGATTTTGGTTTGTTTGAGAACAGATTTGAACGTGCAGGCTGGGATCAATCCAAAAATATTTTCTTTACTTTAAAAAGATTAAGTTTGGTTTGTTTAATTTTTTTTTGTTATGCATGTTAAATTGTTGCTTAATATTGTGTTTATGTTGGTTACTTAAGTAAATAAAAGTTAGTAGAAGTAGATTGATTTAATTCCAACATTTTTATATAAAATATTGAAGATTCTTTTTGGATGTGAGGATCTACAAGTGTTGTTAGGTAAGATTTATGTCTAAATAAGCTTTTCTTAGAATTTTGCAAATACAAGAAGCTAAAAAAGCCTAATTATTTCACAACCTTCAATCTTGTCAACACCCATCTTACATTTTCATGCCTTATTTCAAACTTTCTAGTATTTTTAACATTTAACAATATGCATTTTGTTCTTTTAGATTTACAAGTAACATTGGATATGTTTTTAATATATTCTGTTATACATATGTTAATTCCTTGAGAAAACCTATTTAAGATTGTACCTTTAAAAATTTGTTTAAATTGAGAAACTTTTTTAAGTAGTGATTATTTAATATATATTTAAACTTACTTTAGTTTTAAAAAAATCAATGATTGGTTTTTTTATTTTTTGACGTTTACATTGTTTTACAACAATCCACACTGAAAACATAACACGAACTAATCAACCTTCTAATTTCACGAACTTCATCTACAGCCATACTATGTATTCGTAAAAATTTCGATATCTGTCTGTTCGATCTGGTTTACCGACACAGGAAAAAGCTTCGTCTTTTCTTCAGAAGTTGTCTATTTATCTTTGATTGTGCAAATAATGAAACTGGCGAGTGTGTATTTTGGTGGAGCTGAGGGTGATGAAGACCTATTGCAAAACACCAATCCAGCCTTGTTCCAGTTGCGCATCCTTGAGGCACCGACACCGACAGTTCTTCAACATCTCGCAGTTCGCCGCATGTAGATGACAATCGCAGTGTGTGCATATTCTCCGTCGATGTGTTACATATTGGCAACATTTTGTCGTGTGGCAGTAACATTTACACTGTCTTTTGCAAGCGAACCCACACTTGCGTTGCATGTGGCAATGGCAGTCGCAACAACTTTCTTCCTCAGTGCTGCAGCAGCAACAGCAGTACCGAAGAGATTCCTTCCTTCGGGGTCGAGGAGTCCTTGGTCTAGTCCCACCTGTAACGTAGCTCGGATTGATCGTTGCCCACCTCGTTTCCATGTACTCGAGCTTGTCCATGTATTGCTGATTCTGGTTCTCCCCCGGACCGTAATAAAACAAGGGCCAGAACACGTTGAGTTGCGTTACGTCGCGGTCTTGGTACACAAGCAGCCTGGCTCCATGCCGTCCCTCCACGGCGAAGACACTATCAAACTGATGAGTGATAGCTCCGTAGATGTGCTTCATTCTGGAAGCCCAGGGGCGAACCAAATTAGGTCTTGTGCGGAAGATCTGGCCAAATTCCTTGCGCACCGTGTCAGGCAGTGTCGGCAGCCAGACCCTCAGATACAGAGGCGCAGGGATAAGCTTCAGCTCGGCTCTCCATCTGGGGCATCGGAAATCTTGCAACCGGGCTATCTCCAGGATGTCCCAGGATTTCTTGAAGAACGTCTGTTTTGTGTTGTAGTTCAGCATCTGCGCCAGCCACACGTGTGAGCAGAACTTCCTCCCACTGGAATTCGTCCCCGCCGAAGCGCAGAGATGGCTCATGGTGCTTCATCTCCAGAACTGCATATAAAAACCCCTTTCAAATCACAAAATATAATCGCTACGTCTGATGTTTAGTCATAGCGACAAATCGACTGTATACATGCTTTTGTTCAAAGCAACGGCTCACCTTACAGCAGACTTTTTTTTATAACCCCTCGGCCTTTTGCAGGAACAGTCCGCACCGCATCTGAGGCTCTGCACTACAAAATGGAAAGCATGAGGATGAAGCTAAAGTTAGTGCAACCGCTGAATCAAGCTACACTCTTATGCAAGGCATACCGAACTTTAGCACACCTCATTTCTCCATTTACTGTATTGAGGCACTGCACAGCGTTTTATCCTCCTTTCAGCAGAGGAGATGGCCAATCTATCTAGTTATAACCATGACTTGTTAATCGTGGTTATCAGGATCACTCATCTTCCGAGATGTTTTCGAATGTGGGTCTCATTGCAATCTGCTTCCTGGAATGGACTGTTCGGCGCCAGTCAGAAAAGTCACGGGAAGAGGACGAGAAGTTAGTTGCCGGCTGACAACGGCAGTTGTTGGGTTTGCAACCAGCACGTCGTTTCAAGCTCCATGCAGAGCCACACACACACACACACAGTCTTTGTGTCTGTACCCATTGTGCAGATCCAGCAGCAGTAGGTTGATTAGTTATTATCACAACTACCACTACTCTATCTCTCTCTCTGTTCCGAAAGCTCCACCACCGAGGGACGTTCGTTTTCACTAGGTCTCCTGCGCACTCTCCGACATACGATTCATGTTTCCGGAATGCCCATGTCGGTACACGCATCAGACCACCGACATGGGCGTAGAAAACGAGGTGTCAACTGTTTGAAAAAAACAGGATTATTTTTTTTTAAATGAGGAAAGCAGCTTGCTTTGATGAGTTTATTAACGCTAATTCTGTTCTTCAAACAATAGAAGGTGTGACAATATTTGTTGGTTTGCATGTGGAGATATATGTTGGGTTTTTTTTTTTTTGCAAGCTTCGGGAGAAGCAGGCAAAGAAGTGAGTAAATGAATGGAAGTGAAACGTAGTGTGTTGTGATTGAAATTTGTGCATATTTTTCTTCTTCTAATATTTGTTTTCGCTTAGTAATGACTCTTGTATTTAGTTATAAATACATATACTTATAATAATTTTCATTATCAATAGCAGATTGTTATAATAACAATATGAGTAATATTATTATAATTATTTTTTTATATCATGTATTTTTGGATTGGTCCGAGCCTGCACAATCAAATCGGCCTTCCAAGATTCAACTCCCGCTCAATCTCCAAACCCATCGACAATTCCGAGCCAGAATTTGACGCAGAATTTGCGTGCTGATCGCCGGAAGATGCCTTCGCCTTTCCATGGCTTAACCGCCGCGTTCGACTTGTCTCTTCCGCCGCTTATTTTCGGCAATTGATTCATTAGTTTTAAAAACGATCGTCATTGTCTCTTGAATTCATCACACATTCATTGGCCGTCGAGTTAACTACAATTGCATGAGTGATCGATCAGTCATTGCAACGTCCGTCACTACGTAGAGTACAAATGGGGGACCACGCCGCAAATGTGTGTGCAGGTCTTCTACTTATGTATTAATATTGTCGTCGTTTTGTGAAAATCGTTCGCCGAATAGGATGACGACATTGGAGAGCGGACATGGAATTTTTGGTCGGGGCAAGCGGAATGAGACCGCCTTCCGAGAGTATTGAAGAGTGTGGTGTCTGTTGTGAAGGTGGAGTTGGAGCATGATATCGAGTAACCAGATTGTCAGGAGTATGGATGGATAGGGTTTTGGCGGGGAATCAGTTGTTGCGAGTCAGGAGATTGATGATTTTGGATCTATCTCTTTTAATGTAGAATACTTCTGATCACGTAGAGCTGGATTGACACGAACGAATGGAGTGCACTTTACCAATTGCAGTGTTTTTTTTCAAAAGCTTGCAGAGGAGAATTGCTGTGTCTTTACAAAGTGTGCAGAAATTGTAAAGTCTTACGACAGCTGGTGCAGGGTTGATTTAGCGACTTCCGATGCGTGAGGTTTTGAAACGGTGATGTTATAGAACGGTATGCAGCGTCGCGTTTCAGTTGACCAGGTTTGTAGTTGGGGAGATTTTGTGCGACGCACTGTTATTTTATCGCTTTTCATGGTTACCATTGTTCTAATTGGATTTTATAACGTTCATCCATTGCTGAAGCTGCTGTCGAATGGAGTATACGTCTTCGTGATAAATATGTTGGCAGTGAGGATTGATCGGGAAACATCGATGTTTGCATTTTCTTAGAATGCCCAGCACAATTTTATTTTATTTTATTTTATATTTTTTCTCGTGTACTTCAGTTAAACCTCTCACAAACTAAGCGAAGGTTGAACCCTTGCTCCTCAACTTGGGAGCATGAGCATTAGAGTCTATAACAGATTGACGATATTTACGGTAGAAAAAGAATTGATTCACACGAGATTGTGTTTGTAGAGTGTCATGCCAAATTTCCAAAGTCAATAGCCGAACTGACCGGAGTCTCGGAGGAAAATGGGAGCTTTCCTAGACAATTAAGATATTGTTTCTGAAACTCAGATGCACACACATGAAGCGATGGACAATCTCCATTCACAGTCTGGACCCTCGAATTCCCGGAGTCCATACCATTCTCCCCACTCGGTAATCTGTCGAACATCTGGGATTCTTGTAAATGCATTTTACTTTATTGTGTTCTCTTTTCAAGGATTTCTATTAATTTATATTTTTTGATCATGAAATAAGCAAAATTCAGCTGTGTGCAAATACAAGGCGTGATAACTAAGGTCCCGGTCTGACATGACTTGGCCATCTTAGCTTCTAAAAATATTAGCCTGCTTTAGCTATTATCTTACCACTTTGAGAATCACAGGGACAAGGTGAAGTAGGAAAGGCTCCGCCAAACAATTTTGGATGTTCGAGCATGTCCGGGATGTCGAGCCGAACAAGCCCTCTAGGGGCGAACAAGACAGTGGCCTTTAGCAGACTGCCTGGTGAAGGCCCCGCTGCAAGCTCCCTCACTAGAACGGGTCCGGGATGTGGACATAATGCTGGACCTGTTGGTCAACATCAGTCGACGCTTCGAGCTGGACCCCGGCTGCGGGCGGAAGGTTTGATGGTGCCTCCAGCTTCTGATGCGGCCACTTTACGTCGCCAGGTGGCTGCTTTGCAAATGGATCTAGACGCTCACATTGACGGTGAGCAACGGTTGCAAAGTATCAATCAACAGCTTCGTGAAAGGTTCCCATCTTCGCCTTTGCAGCATCGCTCTTCACCATCCCTTCATTTGCAGTTCAGTGTAGATAACGAGGCATACTCGTTTTGGCTGATGAAAAATATGTCCTATGAAATACGTGCCCTTAACAACACATTGCAGTGGACATTGTTAGTTGTATCTATCTGTACATAACCAGTAGGGACAGTTGTAATGAAGGTGGCGGCGACGAGGGCGAGTAATCTGTATGATCTGTTGAAGTTCCGCGATTTTTAGTATCATCAATTGTCAATACGGGCCTGGGCTAGTATATAGGATGGGGTTACATTTAGAGAACCCGCAGATCCTTTCGGTTCTCTCAAAGGGTCATGACAGGTCATGAATGCATTTTTTTGACAGTTTTAAAGTGGCAGGCTGGAGCTTTACATGAAGCAGAATCATGAAAATGTGGAGAGAGCTGAGAGCGAGTTGAACACTCTTCATGAAGATATGGAACAGACTCTTGAGCTGCAGCGGCGATTAGCTCAAAGGTAGAGCTGAATACACTTACTAGAGTCCTGTACAAGGTTTTCAATTGCTTTTAGTTTTGAGAGGTTCCAAGTATATATTCTGTTTCGATGCCGTCGTACCAGATCTGTCTGTCGATTTCTTCAGCCTTTCAAGCCTTTACTGGTTCCGACGTGTAAACGATCTGAACAACTGGACTTGTGTTTTACATTTTTACCTGTAAGTCTCAGATTGTTATTAGTGATGTCTTGCCAGGGCAACTGGCCTTGAAAAAGAGAAAAAGGACATAGAGAATCTTCTACAAGTAAGAGTATTAGAGTTTGAATGTGAGAGAACCGCTCTGCAAAATCGCATCCAGAACATGGGTGAAGATTTGCGGACTAAGGCTGAAGCTCAGGAGAAAGTAAATCACCTCCAGGTTATTATCCACGCAGATATGATCTTTGTTGTTTCTCTACTTATTGCTGAGCAAAATATGGAGGATGTGAATACTTATTTTTACCATTTCTTCAATGCAATAAGTGGAAGTACTCAAACTTTTTCCTTTGGGACTATGCAGGTGGAACTGTCATCCACTCTAGAAGTGAAGGCCCAACTGGAGGAACAACTTTCAAAGATAGCGGAGGAAACTTTTTTCTTAGAGAAGAAAGCTGATGATTATAGTAGAGAGCTTCAAGAACTGCTTTCAAAGGTTGGAGGGTAATCTTGTTGCTTGTTCTTCCCATGTTTGGAACCATAATAATCTCTGGACCTCATGCTAGTGAATATTATCTTTCATACTTGTGAATTGTACTTGGAGAAAATAGCATCTAATTCGAAGCTGTCTAGATTTTGTTGGCATGCAATAATGTTTAGAAGAATTAGTTAACGATTTTCAAACTAAAAGCTCCATTTGTTTACAAGCCCTTAAGAACCCTCGTAGTCAATGTGAATTTTCCTAAAGCTTGTCAAACTTATCCCCATTTGAATACAGGAGCAATGGGATCAAAAATTGGATAGAATGGGAAGAAGAGCAATGACACGTCGAGCCTTCTCAAATTATCAAAACGGAGTCAGGGAGCAATGCATTGACAGAGCGAACATGGTACGAGCCATTAGCAAGCACAAACATACCGGTTGCAAGAAGGTTTTTTACTTGTTGCGGATGGCCACTTGTCGCTCATGCATACTACGTCAACTAAATGTAGCTCAATGCCAGGTATATACTTTTGCGGAAATCCCTCACAGTAGGTTTCTACCTATCTGGTAAGCGAGAACTCATGTTTTGATGTATTTAGGAGAGATGGTTAGAGATAAGCCTTTTTATCCTTTCACTGAGGACTTCTTTCTTTTTAAGAAATTGAGCACAAAAGGATTTTGTCAGAAATCTGTTATCCATTTCTTTAGAGCTATACATTTACGTTTCTTCACAAGCACTTCGTCTAATTTCTGCTCGATGCCATGAACGTATGAACAGTGGTAAAAAAAAGTTGAACTGAGCGAACGTTAACTATCACTCGTTTCGAACCTGTCGCATGAGATTTGCAGGCAGCATTTTGTACATCCTGGGAAAAATGGAAGCTGAGCATGGTATCTGAACGCAATTATCGTATCTATTTAGAGAAGCAATCAAAACGTGCAGTGACTAATGCAATGCAAGCATGGATGGCCTATATCCTCCATGTTCGCCTCAGTCCAGAGCGATATGTAATGGCGTTGAATTATTGGCATCAGAGATGCCTGCAGAATTGCTTTCGCAAATGGTTACAGGTTCTCCGTTTCTGGAAGTTTCCGCCGAAAGAAGAGAAGGTTCACATGGAAAAAGCTTCGAGGCACCACATTAAAACTTCTTTATGTCGGTATCTTGTCTCGTGGCAAGGCTGGCTTACAACGTATGCGCGACCAAAGAAGCTGAAATTTGCAGTCGTGCAGGCACACATCGATAAAATGACAATGAAGCAAATTGTAGCTGCATGGCGATGTATGCTTCATGTCAAATGGGTTTCCCGCCTAAAAAATGATGAAGCAACCAGTTTTAGGAAAAACTGGTGCTTAAGACGCTTTTCTGCCAGGTCATCACATTCAATTATTCCTTTTATTTTTCCTTGTGTGAGCTCTGCCATGGATCCGCATGCAATGATAATTTAAGAATTGCAGGATAGTTCGTAGTAGTATATCTGTAGGATTACACTTGTTTTGATTCTGGATGAACCTTTCAGAGTTTATTTCATTTTCATGGGTGTCTTAGTTTTTAGAGCTTCATTGATGGTCAATTGCACGATTGAACTTCTTGGAAATTTTATTTCTCCAGTGCTAAACAATCAAGAGTGACCTTAGATGGGTGCCATCGTCTTTCAGACAAGTTACCCCTTACGACTCCACACAAGTCAAGTCTTACATTGATCAAATGGTTGGATAAAGTCAAAACTGCAGTTCAACTTTGAACAATCTTTCCTGATGCCATGATGCAGGTGGCGACAACACACAATTGAAATTAAAACCTTCAAGTTACGCAATTCTCAAGCCATGGAATATAGAGCACACAGACTAAAGCACTTAGCACTCCAGTGCTGGCGCAATTTTATGCAGCATCAGATGCACATGCAAATTTACAAGCAAATGGCTTTCCGGCAGTATCTTCGCTCTCTTGCCATCATGGTTGCAAAACTTCACCTTTCTTGACTTAAACTGTTCATGTCCTGAATCAACACATTCAAATTGAAGCAGTGGTTTTTGTGGGCAGTCCCATTTCCTTCGAGTTGGTCAGTTCTTTACAAAGTTCTTGTCGGAACCCGAGATAATTATTCGATTGTGATAATCAAGCTCCATTTCGTGGAGCTTGACTCACTCGTTCAAGAACATTTTATTTTGTGAATACTTTACTAAACTATGCCATATCAGTATTTCAGAATTTTCTAATTATCATTGCCATGGCGTTTGGACATATGTGTATGTGTGTGTATATATATATATATATATATATATATATATACCTTATTCAAATTTTAGAGTATTCGAACTTGGAGAGAGAATGTCAATTACAAGAAGGCACAACACAAAGCCACAACAGAAGTAAATCAAGCGCTAACAAGGGCAGCTATGGTATTTTGGCGAGACTATCATGTGTACAAATCCATAAAGTAAGATTCAATCTCTTAAAGGACCTGCAGGATAGAGTAATTTTTAGCCTGATACATGGTATTTGAACAACAAGACGAATACTAACCTCTTCCATTTAAGTAGAAGAAAAGTACAATCAAGAATATTCACGCAGAAATGCTGCTTGTCCCTTAACTGGTTAAAAGAATTATCATGTTCTACTACTGCTTTCTATGTCTCCTTGTAGAGTTTTGGTTGTTTATAAGAGAACTCAACGAATTTGTCAAAGATGTTTAAATTACCCACACAGCAGACAAAATTAGTCATTTACAGATTACTTTCGTGTCTGTTCAGGAAAAAGCAGGAATTCAGGGCTGTGACATATAGAAACAGGAGGCAGAAAAAGGTAAAACCATTAGCTAGTTTGTTTTGAAGCGTTTTGCCTTCGTAGCTCAAACTGATCTTTGCCCAATAAGTGACTCTTCATTACATTAGCAGCAGAATTCAGCTGCTGCATTACACTTCCTGCGTGGGGTTATTAATTATGAATAATTATCTGCACAGCTTGCAAAAGTGATATTGAAGTGGTGGTGGGAGCGAATTGCATGGAAGCGTAAGGCCAGCCAGTTGGACTGCTTATTAACAACTCGTCGCTGTCGGACTGTACTTTTCCAAATTCTGCACGCTTGGATGCATGCAACTGTTGATGGCCTTCTGTTAGCAAATTCTAAATATCAGGAGGATATTTTGGAAGTGCAGGTGTGTATTTCTCCGATGCCCATAAGCAACCGTCCCTCATACGTCATTCATGCTTGATATTTACGATATTCCCTTACTCAAGAGTGGTCTGAGATACACAGTGAACAAATCTTTAAACTACATAGCTTTTTAGCAAGTGTTGTTGAATTTCATTATCACTAAACATATGCCTTTGTAATGAACTAAGATGAAGGAGAACTTTTAGTAAGGAGAAAGTGTTTGAACTAGCATGATTGCACAAATGTATCGGAGGAACCCTTTAAGCTTGCAAGTGAAGCAAATATATGAAGGTCATTGTACGAAGAAAGTTCGTGTGATTAAGCCAAATTTCCAAAAACACTTAATATTGACAATGTTTTCTGAAGATGATTCTTTTCTTGTAAGTTCTCTCATTCTTGGGTATGTATGTGTTAGTTGTCCCCCGAAAGGAAATAAGCATCGCATTTAGTAGTAAATTTAAGCGTCTGGCAAGCTTGTGAAATCCTATTGGATCTATTTCTTCAACATGGCTTGAAGTAATTGATCTAGTTCAGATTTTTTGACCTTCCAAAAACTAGCAACTAAACAAGTACCTGGGCTTTGTTCATATACTCAATATTGTAAAGGTAGCTGGAGTATCGTGACACGATTGCTATTAATTTGAGTAGGAGAACTAGTTTTGGGGCGTCTACTTGTTACTAATGTAGTGACAACATGAAAGATGATTTTTATTAATGGACGTTAAGGTTATTTCATCTTAATTTCTGCCCATGTTTTCATGAGAAATTGTTTTGTGTATTGTGCAGTCACAGTTTCAAGAACAGAAACATCAGTTGACCACAGTGGACATGGAGAACCTTCAACTGATTGATCGCCTCCACATAATATCATCGGAAATAGCGGTTCTGAAGACCTCAGTTTATGACAAGAAGAAACTAGAGAAGGATCTTCATCGTTCCTTAGAGGATGGTACCATGCTTGAAATTTCGATGCGTGGCGAAATTGAGCAAAAGCAGTCACACAACGAGGAGCTCGAATTTGAGATTCATAGCCTCAAGGCAAGGATTTCGTTCATTTTTGCATGTTGTGCAAACTCTCATGCACAATTTTCTGCTACTTAATGTTTTGAACATGTATGATTTTTAAAGTAGTAACCAACACTACTGTTGAAACCGCTTGAATACAGAAAAAGCTTCAAATGAAGAATGCAGAGGACACTGCCGAAGAAGTTCACCATACCTTAGAACTACAAAACTTGAAACAGGCTCTTAAAGATCTTCGCACCCAATTGGTTGAAAAAACTTCTCAAGTTGATTCTTATGCCAAGGTGTGCTTCGGAAATTTTCAACTTGCGCATGTTTATGCGATTGTGTGATATTATTGTCTCCACAGTCGTTTCTCTGGTTTCATCTAACTGGTTTGTTGGGGTTTAACGATATCCTAGGCTTTAAAAGAAACAGCTGAGAGACTTGAAGGGGCCTCTGATGAGTCCCATGAGAAACTCACAAGCGCTTTTGCGATTGCTGGATCGTTGAGGAAACTTTTGGAGGACCGAGAGAGCCAATTTGCCACTTTAGAAGGAAATTGCCGGGTAAGTGAGTAAGCATGTACCTATATTATCATTGTTGCCGATGATATATCTTAACTTCAACATCTAGTAATTGTGTATATATTAACGTATAACAGAGGCGTGAGTTGGAGTTAGAAGAGGTGCAACGCAAGTTAGCAGTGGCCAACTGCACTTTGAGTGAAACAGTTGAAAGTAGAGACAATCGAGTTCGAGAGCTGGAGAGCATGCTTTGCAATAAGCAGCAAGAGGTATAGACCATTCTATGTGCCAGCTCTTATCCTATCATCTCCAAATTTCTATATTGCACAATCTGTTGAGGAAATGCTTCATGTCTATTTCAGTTTTGAGATTTTAAATTTCTTTGCCCTCTCAACCTTTTTTGCATGCAATATAGCTGTCTTCGAAAGTACTTCAACTGAGAAGATTAGTCTTTCCCGAGGCAAGAATGGACAAGTTTTTATGAAATTGGTGCTGCAGGTGCAAAAAGTGCGACAGAGATTACAAGACCTAGAGGTATCCATGGATACCAAAGAAGGCAGTGTACGAAGATTGGAGTTTGAGCTAAAGCTAATGACTGGTACGCTCCTCTAATGACATGTATCAGTACATTCTTGTGTGTCATACATTCATCAACTAAGAGTGGTGGTATGGGGATTTTTGCATTTTAATGGATCATACTAAACTGTTGTAACAGTCACTTTTCCGACCTGCAATTGCATATCTATTTTGGATATGATTCACTTATCAAGTACTACCTTTTGACACTTTAATACTCGAATTGCAGAACAAAATGCCCTGAAGTCGAGAACGTTTGGTCCAAGTTCAACCTCCTTGTCTGCAACACCACAGTTATATCCCGATGCGGGTGCTCACCCACAAGGAGGCTTGTACTCTCTCCAAATTAACGAGTTCAAAAGCCAATTCGGTGATGCCTCGACCGCACTACAACAACAGAAACTGCGCCAAAGTGCTCGTGCTACCTCGGGAGCAGTAGGAGACGCAATGATGCAAACAGAGCGATCATGTAATGAATGTGCAGTGCAACCTCTAACTACATTTGCCGAAGACGGCCAACGGGAGGATGCGCCAACTGGTGAAGGTGTAGTTCCAGGATCCGTATCCGGCATATCCGACTGCGTCAAATCTCAACCTTGTCAAGGCACAGATGCTAAACATTTTCTTCTGAACTCATCAGACTCGGCTGAGGGTGTGGCCTTGCAGATTTTGCCATTCCAAGAAGCAGAATCTCTTTCATCGCCGCACATGGGTTTGTCATCTGGGGCACAGGAGCGAGTGCTTGTGGATTCGAGTAGTGAAATGGGCTTGCAGCTAAGCGAACCTGTGTTTCTGGGTCAAGAAAGCCGTTCAGCGGTGTTGCAGCAGAGAGGGAATATATCGCAACCTGATCAGGAGACGGCGTTTGCTCTTGTGTCGATGACGAGGCCTAAAACACTAGGGCATATTACAGATCAGCCTGGATTTATGACGGATGGGAGTGAACCTGAAACGCAACTCCAACTTGAACGCAGGGGCGACGTTGGGAGTGGAGGTGAAGGGATGTCGATGCAAACATTGAGAGAAGGTCCATACCGTATAATTTTGGATGATGATCCCAATGTGGTTGACAGCCTGCACCTTGAAATTCAGCGTTTGCAAGACCGAATCATGAGCCGATTGCGAGACTCCACTGCGGATGTTCATGTAAGATTTTACTTAAAGTAATGGAAAGTTGTTTACATGTGGGGTTGTTCGAGAGAGAAAAAAGAACTGAAGACTTGCTCCTAATCTTTTTGTGTTACGTAATTCTTGGTTAAGCCAGTGCTACTTCAACCCAAACCTGCGCAAGAAAAGTGTCCTCTGTGCTTTTACCATCTACATCGCAATTCAAATTCAAAATCATGTTGTGAGTCTTATGCTAAGATATGGCGACTTAGAGTTCTGATGGTGGTGGGTTCATATATGTGAACAGGATTCTTCGGATCCAAGTGGCTCCGGAACAACATCGTCTAGACCTCTTCCAGGAGCAGATCTCAGTTCCGGAACATCGGGTTTCGACAAGTGATGAAAGTCATTATTGCCTATCGCATCTATCTTTTGCTCTGATTTTATGACAGTCCGAAGCTCTGTTTGTCCCTCTGCACCAGCGTCAGTGGAACTACCAAGTCCATTGTCCCGTTCCGGTTTTATTTAATTGAAATAATACGCCTTTGGAGTTAGCTTGTGTGAGGCTTAGGTCTCTGATGCTCTAGGTATTGTACAGGCAGTGGAAAAACCTCTTAGAGAATTAAAGCCAAATGGCAAACATGAAAAGAAAACTATCGACAAGGCAATTTGAGCCGTGAGCGTATATGACATCTACATGTTGGGGAAGTTTGAATGTTCTTAGGAAACCAGAGGATATCCTCTTGTTGCTTGCCGTGGTGTGTCTGAAACAATGAATGGTACTCCTTGGATTGAATGGATTGTTAGAATTTTGTCCGCCTTCGATCTATTCTTGTTTGTGTAGTTGGATTATGATCTATCACAATGTATGCTAATTCCTTGTAGATTCCATCACATCACACACCGGGAAAGCATGTACTGGAGGGAGTGGCATATTCCTTACCCTCCCCTTACAGAGAAAGGTAAGTAGAAATTGAAGAAACTGATCATTCTTATGGTCCTATAATGATTCTTGGGCTTGGTATGTTAGTGTCTGCCTTTCGCCAAGGATGGCGGATTCTCGTAAGTGCCAATAGATATGTATGCCATAAGTCATGCAATACGAAAAGTTAATGAAACTTAAGAGAAGTTCTAACCTGCCTCAGCCAGATCAGAATAGAGATATCCTGACCACGCCGGCTCAAAACACTGAAACCAAAATTGCCACCGATGAAACAAAGCCTAATACAAAGCCAATTAGTGGGAGTGACAATGAGAGAGACTAGGTAGAGATTATTGGAGGTGAAATTCAAAGGGAAGGAAAGGAGTCTGTTCCGAGCACACGAAAGTGGAGGCAAGACTAGCAAACGATGTCGGCATCGAAAGCAGCAATTCCAGAAACTCTAGCGGCAGTGATTCGGAAAGCTCACATAGTGGTGTTCGTCGCAGTGGAACTAGGTAATCGAACATTTACCCAAAATAACGATTTCTTGTTAACATCCTCTTTGTTTTTATCATGATCCGTGATGTACTCTTAGGATTCCTAGTGCTTCCACTTTCATGAGTTGCCGATGGATCATTAATGGTGCGACAGGGCGGAGTGACAACGACAGTTACGGTAGCAGTATTGACAGTGAGGATGACCATATGAATGACGACGTTGAGATAGTTAATGACGACGACGATGGAGATTATGCACATACAAAAGCCTATGGAAAACGACAGTAAGAACGTTAAGGTCAGGATTTATGGGTTGTGGGTGGAAATTCCTTTCTCAATTTCATGAAAGAGATGCTCAAATTGTGATGCTGACCCTTGTAGTTTTCTGATTTGTGAAGACCTTCTACCCGCATTGTTGGGTTTTAACTTGGTCATCTTCCAGTGCATGGTTGATGAGATAGTACTCTTTAAAGGATAAGCTGCATCACTTCGGTGAAGCTTTGAATTGTTTTGAGCCAGATGCACGTATTAGACAGGGAATTCAGACGCTTGAATTGTTGCATGTCCTATAAGCAACATGAGACGTTAGTAGGTGGTGTTTATGAATTGGGTTTTCGTTAGGAAATCACTTTTGCGTTCAACAAGTGTATTCATGTGAGACATGCTATTTTGATAACAATATAAGTGCTCGTCATTTTTTGCTTCAATGGTCATGGAACAGGCGTGCCGTCAATCGAAAGATACGAAATGAATGAAACAGAAATCTCTGGCGATGCTTGTGACACATGAATCAGGGGATGTTGACACTGGAGGCTAAGAAGAAGCACGTCGCCGTGTGATATAGCCAGAAATGGAATAGGTTGCAGTGGTAGACAATTTGGATGTGGACGTTGCTGGTGACTGGGACGTTAATGTTATACCAGTAAGTGGTGCCGATTCATCGAGAGAACTGAGATCTGTAAATCTTACCCATGGTCGACTGTTAGAAGAAATCAAAATAGAGGTTCCATTTTCTCTTTCATTTAAAATGGAAAAACATGCTTTCGCTCCCGAAACTCGCCGTTCGAGGAGAGATATTTTCAGCTTGTCAAAGGGTGAACCCACCCAGACTGATGAATTCAAGATGGAAGAGGTTATTAACCTCGGCAAGTGTTGCGAAGTAAATGAGCTGAAAGCCGATACATGGAAGGGACTTATAAACAGGTGGGCGACAATCTCAGAGGGACTCTTTTAGAAACGTTAGTAACAAAATTGCAGTTGAGGAATGCCTTTGTATATGCACAAAGGAATAAACAACTTGCACGGATCCTTCTTCCCAGTCTAGTAACATTGGGTTCCCGTGCAAAAACAGGAAAAGAGATCAGTTAATCCACTTCCTAAAAAACAGTACTAGACCTTAGGAAACTATCTACAGAAATCACTGCTGGTAATGTTGGAGATCCTGATGTGTTGTGTGTATTTTAGGATGTTTTATGGCCTTCATCTACCTTGGCTACCAGTTTATCTCCTGTATAATGGAATTTTCAATTAACAGATGTCCTAGTCCTATCTAATTAGGAGTGGTGCAGCATCCTAACTATTTGCAACAAATCAGTTTCAAAGTGCAGAGAGAATCCCACGCGATCAGGAAGATCAGACTTTGCAATGCATTGGGATTCTTGAAAACTTTGTGCTCTAGTGCGATGACCTACCAGTATATACTTGTCAGTGATAGCTTCATTGAACCAAAGAGAGAATTTGATTTTGATACAGGAGTCCAAAGATCTGCGGAAGACCTTCAATATTTTGAATGAAGAGCTCCAGGTCAGATATTTAACTCTATCCATATATGGGACTCAAATCTCGTTTCCAATGTTCAAGTACGACTTTCTCAGCAGACCACCATGAGCGGGTTGCCTCTCAGCAAATCCAGAAAATCTCAATCAAATAGTTGAGAAACTTTACACAGAAACTGGAGCCAAGATAGAAGACCATTACGTCCCTGTTTCTTTTAATCAAATAAGTTGGAAGACAAAGCTGTACACAAGATTTTGTGGCATTGTCCAGTAGCTTAGACAATATTCTGGATCATTCTTTTCAATATGTATGACATTAGAGTCTTCTCTGATTCAGATACAGTTTGTGTGCATTCTACTGTTAATGTACTTCTTAGTGCCGCTTATCTTGTTTGGACTATGTCGAATTTGAAAGTTCTCAGTTTATTACTGGAGTTTTTTTATGAATCTGAATCTTCTTTCTGAATATTTTGATGGACGTGATCCACCACTGCCTCTAATCCTGCATCACCAGCACCTTACTATTCCACCATACCCTTGTAGAGGATCATTGCAAATCATACTTATAATCACTTGCTGTTTCTTTGCAACTTCTTTGAATAGACGATCCTTGAGACTGAATTATCCACCACACCATTTCAAAACACAATGTTTGAACCTGCTTTTTTTGTCACAATAAAAGACCTAGTAAACTGTGCACAAAATGAAACATACATCGAGACATGCATTGAAGAAATAAATGTATCATTAACATCCGGACGCACGGACACTAGAGGAAAGTTTCGACATGTGAAGCTAGACTCATACGAGGAAGTAAAAGTGCAAAGGTTTACAAGAAACATTTATTTAACAGTGAATTACAAAAGTGTGGGAAAATATATAAGGTGTACAGTGAGAGAGTGCACCAATTATTATTGTTAAACACGATGAAAATGAATTATTGTTGAATAAGCTAATTACAATTATTATAAATAAGAAATTTAATGACCTTAATTAAAAATATTGTATTAGCTCTTGTTCATTGCACACCATTCGTCTACAAGTGAATTAGATGAAAAGACCACAGATACAGAGATGAGTTGTTCAAAAATGGTGTGGAGACTGTGGTTTAGTAAACTGCCAAAAGAATGAAAGTACTCTGGGATAAAATCAACAATAAAGAGAGATATGGAAAATCTATACAACTTGGTTTAAAGTGGAATTTAGAATATAAGGAGTGTTTATAATAAGTCAAGTATTATTCTTGCAAGTAGAGATAGAAATGTTTTTTCTTCGATTGGCTAGAAAAGAAAATACTGAATAAACATTTCGTTTATTGAAAAACATTATTTAATGAATGTAAAAAATCAGGTAAATAATACAATATTCTTTAAAAAAATAGTAAAAACACTACTTACATGATTTTTTTAAAAAATATCAAGTGAATTCAAAAGATATAATTCAAACAAATTCAAATTCTATAGATTTTTACTTAGTAATCAACACTTCTAGATATTTGTCGTCATATTCTATGTTCCTACGAAAATTTAGAATCAAGGAATGTGAAGGTATGGTATCACAGGTTCTTTTGATAATGTGCCAGATTACTTGATAGGATAGTATAAAACTGTCCTAAGTTAAGCAATAAAACACATCAAATATTTACCTCAGTGATGACATTGATTGTTGTCAGAACTTTCAAACAGTTTACTAGAAACATGATTTATGAATGCAATTTATGATATTCCACAAATACATTCTTATTCATCAACAATCTGTAGGAGGAAAACAGCTCTGAAGACAGTAAGAAAAACTCTATTATTTTAAGTAATCTTGTTCAAAATGAATATCATTAATGAAGATGTAAGTTGCGTGGTATTACTCGCAATCACAAAGTAATTTACATTACAATCTCATTTCCAGATTAAACTGTTTTGATCTAACATCATCATTCCACATTCTCATGCCATAAGAGCCAAGACACTAAAACAGATTCCAGATAAATTGTGCTGGATGGCTCACCAACAAACTGCTGTGAGTCTAATCTTCAGACCCAAGAGCAAACTACAATTTTGCTTTCTTATTGCTAAAAATAAACCTAGAGGAATGCACGTTCCGAAACTAACATAACACACCTACAACGTACTGATTTCCTAACAGATTGTGCACGTGCAATGTACTGCTTTTGGTCAACATGAGAAACTGATTGTTAGAGTGTTTTAAGCTACACGGCGTGACAAGCTTCAACTTTGTTCAATTACAAAACGATATGTGGTACAGCACTGCGTTCAGAATGATCAATTGCAGAGGGTCTAGAGCGTCAACTTTAAGATCTACTGCGAGATCTTTGACACGGCTATAACAGAACAGGTAGAAACACAACTGTAAGGCCTGTAAAATCTGTCGTTGAAACAAAATTTCGGCTCTACCCACCCACACTCCTTATAGGATTTGGCAATACACACGCTATTTCATCTGAGACCCGAAAGATCTTGAAGACTCCGAATTCCACCACCATACATAACTAGTATTTGTTTCCTAAAATCGCTTGTGCGCTGTGCCTATCTGGGTTTCAAATCTAAACTAGACCCAGTTTTCGTGAGCAATTCGTGGGGCTGCAGCCTTCGGGTTCACATTTAGGTGAGCAGCATGGCACAGGTTTCACAGGTTACAATTGCCATTTTGTGTGGGGGAGCGGGGGGGGAGGCACGACAAATGCAACCAATCCAAAACGATTCTCCACGTACGTTTCCACACACCATGGAAAACTTTGTGAAATGTCACTCACACGCTACATGAAGACATGATTTTCAATTCCAAGAGAGCATTTAGCAATCCTTCACCAGTAGCTGCTAATAAAAATGCCCCTGCGACTGCTGTCCAGTACTCTACCCTGATCGTCAGCAATTAGCAATCATCACAACAATCAATTGATGCCAATGCCATGCCATCCAAGGCCGCGCTAGATTATACACTCGGGTCAAACCCACCCTCTGAAAAATGGTTTACAATTTAATGCTGGGCACTCCTCAGCCTTGAGCATACTCCACTTCATTCCGAGCTGCTACATGCAGCTAGCCCCAAAGCCGCAGCGGTCTGCTGCAATTACGTTGGACATCTCACATTTCTCTACCCTGCATTGCATGGAACGATCCATCCCCCTTCGGCGTCTTTATCCCGACCCAGGAAGTTTCAAAAAGAGTGTACTGCTCCCTTCTACCAATCTCCAGTTATCAACTCGTACATGAATGTCATCAGCACCAAGTCGGCCCCTGCTTTCAAGCACCACATCCCGTGGAGCCGATGGCGACCCACCCACTCTGACGCTACAATCACAAGGCTCCCTCCTTCTCCCACTTACTGGGACCGGAACTACACAGAAGGAAATCAAAACGTGGCACGGCGAGTGTGAGCGCCAGTCAGCTTTCACTCACGATTTCCCCCCTCACGAGCTCTTTTCTGGCTTCTGCAGCAACAGCAAATGCATGGGGCTGAAGATCCCTGTTTCCCCTCCACGGGTCAAATGGTCGGCCGTCTTAAAGAGCATCTCGTGCACATCCACCACGCCCTTCGGAGCAATACCCAGGAATGACAACAACGCGATCATCAGATGATTCCGGTAGTACGCCAAACGCCCCATCTTCAGGCGGGTCCACCAGGGTTTCGCGGGTGGCAATGCCAGGTCCCTGTCCTCCAGCACAACGAACCCCACCTCCTTCGCAATCTCGCCCACCTGCTTGTAACTCCTCAGGCCGGGAAGCGCGTCCCCGTGCTCAATGCCGTGAATGCACTCCACGTGCTCAGCATTGTCCGCCCTGAACAGAGGGGTAGTCACCCACTCGTACGTCACGTACAGGTGACCAGGTTTCAGCACCCGGAACACCTCCGAGTATACATCCTTCAGCTCCGGTGCATGGCACGTCGCCTCGATGGAATAAGCGCCGTCGAAGCTGTTGTCTTCGAAAGGCATCTGCAAGAAGTTCCCGCACACAACCTCGCACAATCTATCTAGCCCTGCTTTCTTATTGTGGCTCCTCGCGCGCTCCACCTGGTAGTCGTTGATAGTGATACCAGTCACAAACGCTTGCGAGTACGCCGCGATTGCCCGCATGGGTCCGCCAACGCCACATCCCACGTCCAACACCTTCTCCCCAGGCTTCAGCCCCAGCAGATCCACCACACGCTCCTCATGTATCCGCGTCGACTCCTTGTGCGACTTCCCAGGCACCGCAGGCGAGAAATGGAAGCTCTGCCCCCACCCCCACTCATAGATATCCGTCACCAAATTGTAGAAAGTATCCACGAAGTTCGGCACGTTGTCCTTCGCCTCGATCTGCTTCGGTTTCTCGAAAAACGAGGCGTATTTCTGGTAACTGCTCTTCACTTGCTCCCGGGTGATACTCCCACCTCCTAAATCCACAGCCCGCTTGCCTTTCCGCTCCGCTGCGCCTGTCATCACCAGCATGTAGTATGCACCGGCACCCATAGCACCCATTGCACCCAAGAACATCCCCCACGTCGCCCACGCCTCCGTCCCACTACCTCCACTTCCACCTACGCTCCCCATCTTCACAACACAGTCTAGTTCCCACAATGCGACCCCTAGAAACCCACCTTCCTTCTCTTCCTCCTCCTCACAGCGCCGCAACCCACCCACCACCACGCCCACTAGAACTGGCTATAAACAGCACAGCATCCAGCAACCAGCGCCTCACAAGTGAACGGCGAAGGCTCCGCTGTGGTATAGTCCCTGTGGCTCAGACTCTGCACGCGCGCACACTCTGAAGGCAGCAGGAGCAGCAGCAGCACGAGCAGCACCCGCAGCGTGCTCTGTCTGCCACAATACTCCGGAGGAGGGGACTTCGTGCTAGAGCCGATGCGCCGGAGCCATCCAAAGTGGCAGCGCGTCTGACGCCGGCTGCGGGGCTGCCGCGCGCTCGCGTCGCTCGGCGGCCCCGCGCCCGACCCGTCCTGCCGCAATTCCGGTTCCCCCCACCCGCACACCTTCTAAATATTGCGGATCCCTCGTTTTGTGCCCTCACAGAAGTGGATCTTGTCATTCCACCCTGTTCTCTCATCCTCTCTGCACCTTCCATTCCTGAGCTCCTTATTGCTCCGTTGGGTCTGAGTCTTCTTTTGTTCGCTTTGCAACTTGGTTTGGGTTCCATTGGACCCGCTGAGGGTTTTCTTGTTGGGATTGCATTATTAATGGCTTTTGCTGCAGTTAGTGTGCTTTTCTTTTCTTTTATTTATTCTACTTTTTTTTTCTTTTTTTTTTTTTTTTTTTTTTGTACCAGCTGCTGTCTTCTTGTAGTTTAATGTCGTCTTGGATCATTTAAGTTTGAGCTTTTATTTCATAAAAATGTGGAGCTTCTGAGGATTGGTTCGCATCTTGCATTGTGTTGTGTAAAACTGTTTTGGATGTAAAGATTAAACAGACCAAAAAGTTAACTTTACAAAAACAAAACTATAAAAGCTTTTACCAGAAATTAATCTCAACCTGGATTTTTGAATGTCATGTGTGGCCATTTAAGATTATTAGTTTCATGTATATATTAATATATACAAATAACATTTCCTTAGAAAGTAACAATCATTTATTTGTATAATAATTTCAACTAATTAAATATTTTTTCTAAGGCTCCTAAATTCTTTTAATATTATTATTACTTGACAGGATTTATATGGATAACACTTAATGAATCAAGCTTTCTTTTCTTTTCTTTTCTTCTGAGCTTTCTTGTTTGGATCATTATTGATCTAACCACATGAAAATATTCAGACAAGTGACTTTAAAAATAATTCTAGAAATACATTGTTGTGCCTACATCAATTCTTTATATTAAATCCATTAAAACATATTCATTGAAATTGAAAGATTTTGTTGGAAATTTTACTGTGAATTACAAATATATATATATATATATATATATATATGTATGTATTTTAATGTCTTTGTATTGGATCTCAAAAGCTACAATTATTTCTTTAAAAAAAATCATCTAAATATAAAGATTTATATTTATAAAATGTTTGTGGTTCTAAATATGGTAAAAATATTTTTGAACAAGTATAATTATGTTTATTTTTTATTTTTTTTATTGTTCAATGCAATATCATTATGTAATCTTTGAAAATATATAATAGAAGATATATACCATTGTTGTATTAATTACATATAAACTTACTATAATGTAGTTTAACAATAAGACTATTACAGCAACAACATCCCATATTAAACATACACCATTTTTTCTTTATGTGTAATTGTTTTTCTTTGGTGGATTTAGATTTCTATTAGAAAATTGCTAAAAAAATATAGTATTCATTGTTGTGATATTTCATTTGAAATATTTTTAGTTGCAAATATATTTACATTGAGAGGTACAGGAAGAAAAAAGAATTTATAAGCATCGATTCTTTTGAATTTTGAACTAATTTAAATGCATGAACTTTGATTGTTGCAGAACAAAACCATGTTTTTCTCCATTTGTTTATCTTCTCCCTTCCCATTTGCCATTCTCGTGGCATGGTGTTGGAGACTTGTTTGTTATTCACCACATTCGACAGTTTTAGGATTTTTGGTTATGATCTTGCAACTTTCAATGTTGTCCTTCATATCAATAATACAAATCAGGTTTAAGATGAGTGCAAACCATTGACATTAAGTTTCCACACAACTAATGACCATCTTTAAAGGTTTTATTATGGTCAATGTGAACAAATTCACGTCAAGGAGTCAGAAAAAGATACAATGACCTGCCTTAATATTGAGAAAATCAGCTCAAATTTTAAACATATGTAAAGCAAGGCGGCACCTCAAAAAATAAGTGAAAGTGAAATTGTCTAACAAACACAATTGCTTGACAAATTGAGCAATAGAAACCCCTAAACTACAAGCCCTCTGCCGTCATTAGTAGCCTCTAAGCCATTGTTGATCAACACCATGTCAAGCTTTTTAGACACTGCTGATCACTGGTCACATCTATAATCAACAAATAATTAGTATTTTTAAAACAAGAAAAACATAAAAAATAAAAAAATATGTTCATTCATAAACTATCACAACTGCAGAAATTAATAAACTAAGAAAATCATGTATGTATGTAACATACAATTTTTTTTAAAAAATGAATATGATTCATGATTTATTTAGATAAATAGAAAAATTGTAAAACTGATGAGAAGGAAGATAAAAGGTTTTAAAAGAAAATACTTTTATTATATCTTTGGAAAATTTCTTAATAATATCAACTTGAAATAACTAAAAGAATTTTGATACAAATTTTTTATGCAATAAATTAGATATTTAATAGAATTTTATTAAAAAGAAGCATGGTCAAATTTATAAATTAAAAAAAAATAAAAAAATATATAAATATAAATCTAAGTTTTACTATGTTATGTAAAATTGCTGGTAAATAATTTAAACATAGTTATATAATAATAGAAGATTACATATATACATTACAAGAAATAAAATCAATTATTTACTTAAGTTATGCAATCAAAATAATAATGATAAGAACTATAAATAAAATCTATAAAACATTATAATTTTTTTGGTTTGTAGTTTGTATATCTATCAAATTAACGTTATCCTTGTAACGTTACAAAATTAATACTAAATCCAGGTTTTCAAAATAAAATTTCATTTCGCTTTGATTGGTATAATATTAAAAAAAATAAAATATAGAACTTTAAAGTAAAACAAATCTACAAACTATCTTTATTATTTTATTATATTTTTTTAAAAATATAATAAAGTAATATTTTAATATTAAAATTTGTTCCTCTCAACCTCATTATTTCTATCAAAACTATAAGCTCTGTTATATTATTTTTAAAAAAAAATTATTTTATTAATTTTTATATTTATATTAAGCTATAAAATCATTAATTTTTATTTTAGTAATAAAATGATTATAAATATTTATAATTAGAAGAAAGAATCATAAATATATATATATATATATATATAAATATAATAAATGTATCTTTTATGTTTTTCCCAACTTGTTTCTTTCTATCTAATATCTATTTTATTATTTTATTTGATAAATTTTATCATTAGACAAAGTTAATTTTTTAATTTCTTGCCTTTGAATTAAAATATTTATTATTTATCACACATTCTATTTATATTTATTTTATAAAATCATCTTACTATGCCAAATTATCTTACAAGTATTTATATTTTTTACTCCATATTACTTCTTTTTCATCCATTCCTTCTATTGTACATATTTATTTTTATAATTTAGGAATCATCTCTTTATCTACAAATATTTTATAGCAAGATCCTCAAAAATATTCTTTCAAATTTTAATTACAACAAATTTTATCCTTTATGAGTTTCAAATAATTTATTTCAAAGAACAATTATTTAAATGTAATCTAATTCATAAAAAACTTTAAAAAAATTATAACTTAAATAATTACAATGATTATATTTAATGATTTTTAATTATATGGATAGAAGTATAATATTATTTTATCATATATTTAGAGACCTTAAGTTATTTTTTAAGTGATAAGTTTTCTTTTGCTTCTTTTGTATTCTACTATCATTTTTATTAAAGTATATATATATATATATATATATATATATATATATATATATATATATATAAGTTTTATAATTAAAATAATATATTATAATATGTCTTATTATAATATGTATAAAATAAGAAATTTTAGTAAGTACATAAATTAAATTATAATTTAGCTTTATATTCATATATAGTCTAATAGATATATATTATAATACAAAATAGATTCAAGCTAAAACATTACAAAACCATATTGCTTAATAAATAACTTTAAATCATTTCAAATAATAAAAGATCTAATTTAAGTATTTATTATATTTTATAATTAATTAAATTATATATTTATCAATATTTTATTTATAATATTAATTTTTTAAAGAAGAATGTTAAATGAATTCCAACAATTGTTAAGTTGATCATCAAAAATTAAAAAATAGATTGTCAAGGTGTACTTTTTTATTATAACTATTATTAAAAGATGAATTATAATAACCATGGTTATTTGTTGTATAAAAATTATACAATTATAAAAATATAATTAGCAAAAAAACTTCAAAATTGACAATACAATGATATATGTTTATAATGTTTATTACAACTCTAAATTTGTGCATCGTATTATACTTTAACAATCTTAATTTTACATTTCTCCATTGATATATCTATTATTTGGATAAGAAATAAAGAAACATCAACCACTTTGAGATTGTTCTATTCCAAAATAAAAAAATCTACTCAATATGAATCTTTTACTAAAAGAATCATTTGATACATTTGAAAATATAAAAAAAAGCTTAGATAGATTTATACATGCCCATAATTATGTTGTTTATTGACAATGCTTTGATAGAAGCTGCATTGTCTTTAAAAAAGATAGAGGTTGCTCTTATAGTAGATTTAATGTCAACATAGTGTAGCATTGGATCTTAGCTATGTAATTAACAAGTTATATATTTGAGCCTTATATATGTAGTTTATATATTAACAAATAATAATACTTATTAATTTGAAATAGGAGTTATAGTTATAATTATCTTGCATTTCTGAGAAGACATTCTATTATTCATTGCTCGCAACATATACAAAAAGTATTAAATACTCATATGCTTGCTATGATAGTAGTTCCAAAGAATATTGTCATTGCATTATATTAAAGGAAGCCTACAAGTTATGTTGTTGTATATATTGTCTATAATAAGTACAAATGTCTTTGTGAATTTAATCTTTATAATCATTTTTTTCTTTTTATTTTAATATAAAATCTTTGTGACATTATATATCAATACATATATAAATATAATTGGACATATAA